CTGAGCGAAAGTGTGATGAGTGGTGGCGAATGACGGTGGTGATGATGGTGGTAGGTGTGGATGACAGTGGGTGTGTGGTAGTGGTGGGCAATGACGGTGGCGACTGTGGTGTGGGGTGATGGCGGCGACAATGGTGGTGGCGGTGGCGATGGTAAGGGTGATGGCGACAATGGTGATAATGGGGTGGTGGTAGAGGTGATGTTGGTGGTTGGGTGGCGGTGATGATTGTTGTGGCAAAAGTGGTGGTGGAATGGCAGCAGTTGTGGTGGTGGTAGTTGGGGGTGGGGGTGGTAGTGATGGTGGTGGAGATAGTTATGGTGGTGGTAGTAGTGATGGTGAGACGATTTCAAACACTATTTTTTTAAAAAAATATTTATGAGAAGTTATAAAGCACTTTTAAAAAGTCACTCAAACACACTCTTAAGGGTCTATTTTTTATTAAATTTGAGGTATTAATATTAGCCGTTGAATTAAATTTAAAGTAAAATTTAAAGAGATTTCAACCACGCAAAGCAAAAGTTATTTTGTTTATTTTTTGATATTTGAATTGTATTGTATTTTATTATATAAATATCTAATTTAGGTACATAATTAGATTTTTTTATATATTTTATCAAATATTTCGAAAAAAAATTCAATATATAAAAGAGTCATCTTGTTTGAAAAGATTTTGATATTATGTTAACAATATGTAAGGACAGCTCATGCCTTTTCAAATAACTCTTTAACAACTTCATTAATGTACAATTATTCTTTTCATTCAAAATTTTAACTCTTTCGTCTTTTTTTTGTTGAATCGATAATAATCTAAAATTTTAGTTTAAAAATGTGATTTTACCAAAATTCTTTCAATCATAATAAATCTTCCAATTTATAGTAAACATCCCAAGAAATTATAATTCAATTTTTAATATGTTTTTTTAATTTATATTTTTTAATTCCTTTACATCTTTGTAAGAAGAACCCTAATAAAAACCTCTCTATAAATAATGAATCTCCAACATAAATTTTAAAAAATAAAATCATAACTATTTCTTTGTTTTATGTACTTTCTTGTAACTAATCTAATTTTAATTTTTTTTTGTGATTTATATAACTTTACATAAGCGATACTATATTCTTTACATTTTTTATGTAAATATTTTTATTTTATTTTAAGAGAAATTTCACGGGCAACATATAGTTCATCGTAGGTTATTTTAAGAGAGCAAGTCTCCTTGGTGTCATCCATATTTCAGGGTTTCTCACAACTGTTCAAATTAAATTGGTCATATTTAAGCCTATCTATAGATTGGGTTTGGATCAGATTCTAATTGATCTAAATTTGAGTTTGATTTCAAAAGTTTAATATGATAATTCGATGATTTTTATTTTCATGATTCATATCCGAATCTATTAATAGTCCGAAATTCGATTTGATCTAATTCGTTAACAATTTAAATTTGGATCAGAATGTGATCAATTGACCAACCTAGTCATATTCCACAACTCATTTGAAAATTTTTTTTTCCTTTTTTCAATGTCAAGCTAAGGATGTACATTTGTCTGAACTCATACTTTATAGGGGGTGGGCCTTATGTAATTGCAGGTGGGCTTGTGTTGTGATTTTTTTTTTTTTTTGTTAGGCATTGTTATAAGGAGGAGACGACGACATTCGAACCCGTGACCTTATGATCCAACAGTATGGTGATAGTCATTTAACCAACAGCTAATTTCAATGATTGATCATTGATTCAATGAAAATGGTCTTTATTTCTAGCTAAATTTTGTTCCTAGGGAGTAACTAACTTGTGATTGATATACTCTCTTGTTTTGGATGGGTTGAGCAAAACCATCTTTATCTTTATCAATCTACTTGTACATCATTTAAAGAAGTTGAGGAGTTTGGTATAGCCACTCACCAATAAAAATAGACTACTTAAATGAGCTTTAACATTCATTTATGTTAATGAAACAATGCCACATTTAAAACATAAACCATATATCATGTTCATTTATCAAATGGTTAGGTGAGTCACCACATGTAGTTATGGTCCATTGTGTAGGTTTTGTTGTCTCCATTAACATCAACATCCACCCCCACAAATTTCATTTGTTTCTATGTTCATTAGTGGCGTTATACTGTATTTTTAATCTCTCCAATTGCAATTCTATCACTCCTACCACCACTGCCACCCCCCCCCCCACCCACCCTAACCTCCTATTGTCACTCCTCATCACACCCTGATTTCGACCCTAATATTTTTAAAAAAATTGTCCATTACTATGCTAAATTAAGAAAAATTAAATAAAATAGTTTTATGGGCGGAGTTCTGTAAGACATATGAAAAGATTTACTTTGATAAGATCAATGTATTGTTATTAAATAATTTAAAATTAAAAAATCTAGTACTTGATAAGGAAAAATTTAATAAACACACACTCTCTCATAAATTGATTGTCATAGCATGTAGTAAATATAAATATAAAGGAGAGACTCAAAGAGAGATGGGAAAAGGAGAGATGATGGGAGAGAAACTTGGGATAGTTAAAAAAATTTTAGGGCCAATAACATAAAGTGAAATTAAATTTGACAATTTAAAAAATAAAAAATTTAAGAAAATTGGATGGAGTTTTGGGCTTATCTAATCCAACGACATTACTGTATATTATGTATAGATTTAGTGATTAGAAATGTTCCTTTGGATTGTAAGGCATGGGACCAAACATGGTGTGAGCCCACCAGGTAGGAGTAAGATTCGGACAAATCACCCCAAGTCTAATCTAAACATAATTGTCAAATAAGAGAAGGTTTGATTGTGATCGAAGCCTTTGGATTTAATGAGTGACACTCAACTGGGGAAATTGACTTAATTCTCACAAAATTTGTGGTAGAAATTGACTTCAACACTACAAAATTGAATTTAATGTCATCCGGAGTATTCCGATCAAATTTAATTTAGTTAGATGGTCTGGTTATCCAAATGTAATATTGAAATTTTAATTTTATTCCAATCCTTAATCTTAGTTATTCCCTTTTATTTGGGAATATGGAATACACACCAAATTCTGAGCTTAATGTTACTCCTCTCAAGCGACATGTCAGGGCCAGGGCAATTTCCCTTATTTGAGCAAACAACTCAAAATTCAGTTATTTCAACTACATCAAATAATCTTTCAAATTGGTCAAGACACCCAATCCCATTCCAACCTCGATATGTGGAATCGTCTTGCACTATATGTACTGAAATTGTTTGGGAGACATGGTCCAAGCCTGGTGAAGAAATTACTAATAATTTACATTTTATTTCATTCTCGCTTTCATTCCATTCGCTCAAAATAGTATTACTACGTATCATACACAACTTTAGAATGTTTTGACATAACAAGTTCCATGAGATACATTAAGTTGTTTTAAAGTAGAAAGTTTGTTTGGCAATAGTGTTAATTACTTTTTGGGTGGAGGATGATACCATTTTTCCTATTATTACTTCAATAAATTAGACTATATAAAGATATCATACCTTTTTTGAATGTGTGTTTTGCTTAATTATAGTATATATTATTGACCATCCTCATAAAAGTTGCTTCTTCAAAATATAAGTTTATAAAATTTAGGATAAATTTTACTAACACTCCCTAAATTTAAGTTATATTTCCTTGACACTCCCTCTGATTTTTGAGATATCATTGCATACCCCTATTAGTTTTTATTTGTTAACAGATTTAACAATATACATAATTTTACTAAATTATTGTTACTCAAATTAATACAAAATTAATCTATAATTTTATCAAACTAATGTCAAATTGACCTTTAATTTTGTTTGATTAATATTAAATTTTAGCAAATTAATACCAAATTAATATTCAATTTTAGCAAGTGTGAGCCCACCAGCTAGGAGTAAGATTGGGACAAATCTACCCTAGTCTAATCTAATTGTCAAATATCCACTAAATTCGCATAATACTCAGATTGAAAGATTCGAATTGAAATATAGGTTAGAGTAAGCTCAAGTTGAAGGTTTCGTACCTTGAGTCTAAGTTAAACCTTCAACTCTTCCAACTCGCTTGAATTGAACCATTACAACTAACAAGGATTTCATTGGTATAATAGGATCTAGAGCTCTATAAAAAATAAGTATGCATATCTATGTTTCATGGCTTTGTGCTTGTTGTTTGTGTGCGTTGACATTCATCTTGCATAAACATAGGTTTCAACGTAGCGTTTGAAAGTAAATAAAAGCCCTCCAAAATGGTTATCTACTTCTTTTTTTTACCAAATAATCATATTATTGCATTTTTTTAAAGAATAATCTCCAACCAATGTGAAATGAATCTTTAATCCACTAGTAAAGATTTTTTTTTCCCATTCGATTGTTAAGTATGCAATATAACCCTTCCACCCCAGCAAAGAATTTTTTTTTTGACTTACAGTTAGGAGTGTCTAGGTCTGCTTACGCTCACCTTGACTAATCTCTTCATCAGATCGGTCGGGACTAAGACCTTTACTTAGTAATATTCATTTCCATGTTTAGTATTTAGTAATGAAATTCATTCTCATGGAATGCCTAAACCCATTAGCATAGGATTTATCGCTCCTCAATATTTTGGTGGAATTTTTTATACTCAACTATCACCACTTGTCACTATCACTACCCACCACTCGAGATCGAGGTCAGGTCAGGTCGAGTTTGGGGATGGGTCCAGGATCGGGACCAAGTCTAGGTCTAAGGATTTTTAACATTTGTATTTGAGTGAATTTTTAATTCTATCCTAACGTCTAATCCTAATTATTGTCAAACATTGTAATAGTAATATATATTACATTTCATTCTATTATTACTTTGATTTCATTCTCTTATAAAAGTATTATTGCATACCAGAATTGCCAAGTTTAAAAATCAAATTATATGAGTTTACAGCTTATTTTTGTTTCCGTCACGAGACTACACCTTCGGTTCACCCCAAAAATGAATCAATGATGGAATTCAAATCTTCATATCCAACAATTTTGTCACCCTACCTTTACCAACCAAAATATGTGGAAAAATATAACAACGAACCTCTTACTAGTAATCATGTTCATATTGATAATAGGAGTAACAACATTGTCAAACAAAAATAGACACTACAAAACAAACACTAATAATGCCCCTCATACATATGAGCACTTATCATCACTTGATCACTAATACCACTCTACATATATTTATTACACTACATATTATACATACATTAATGCCTTATGAATTACATGAATACATTGAGGACATGTTTGACCATATGATCAGAGATGATACGATTTGTTTTCTCCGTAGGATGGAATGAATCCCAGAATACATACTTATTTGCATCCGTGCACGTAAATGGGTTAAATTGATCACACATATAACCCATCTCGAACATTCCCGTAGCACAGCATGCCACTGCTGTAACTTCGAAACCTGTTAAAATAACGAAATAGTAACTATATAAATCACTTTGTTCAATAGAAACATGAAAAACAAACAAACATAAATCAAAAGAAGTTCATTAAACATCTTTAAAGTCACAATAACTGCAAATTTTGGGTGAAGTAAGTCTTCAATTAGCATCGCTAAAGATCAAAAAGCACTGGATGATTGTTCAAATGGTTTATTTAAACATATAGTCCCCGTGAATGTAAAATATTGTATTGTCAAACATTGCTATACATGAATAAAATCCGATAGTTATCACTTTGTACAAGTAAGAACAACAATATAGTTATGTTCGATTCACCATATTGTAGCACCCGAAAGTTCACACTAGGTAATTTTATCGATTTTCTATTCAAGCAAAAATTTCATTTTAAACTTCCTATATACAAAGAATTTTATGAGATATTGGCAACTTATCATTCCAAAAATGAAAGAGTTATTAAAATCATGATATTTGTGAAATTACTATTGTTTATATCGATCATTATACGGAACAAATTCTTATTAAAAATAATGATCCTTAAATCAATTTTTTTATAAGAAAAGAGGAAGAATTGATGAAGTTTAACATAGGACATGACCATGACATGACATCAGGAGTTTGAGGAAAAGTAGCCAAACATCCCATGATATATTAATGGAAGCCATAATGGCAGTATGGGAAATGTTCAAATAGATGTATACCAAAATTCACATGATTCAGAGTGGCATGGCCATGCCACCTATTCAGTAGAAATAAAAGACCAAATTATTTTAGGTATCGTCTGGTAAACCTTTTTTTAAAGAAAATAAATAATTTTTTCAATATATATATATATATATATATATATAATTACTATTTACAACAAAAAAAGAAAAGCAAAAAAAACATAAACACAAATACTAATGGTACGTAAAAAAAAAAATTTCGAGCAATATTACTTAAGTCAGCATTTTAAGTTTAAATAGTATTCTTTTACTCAAAAAAAAATAAAAAACGTTGTCAAATAATACCTTAAACAAGTTTTTTTTTGCGTGGTAGGGTGGATTGTTGGGTGGGAGTGGGTGGTCGGGGGTGGCCACCCTTTTAATTGATCCATAACTGCCAACCAAATAAGTCATGAAAGATTTTCAACTAACTCATTAAAATCACATCACGGGCATTAAGGTTTTTATTTGACATCGTAGACCCGTTGGAAGAATATTAAACCACCCAAACTCGTGAGACTCCACGTGCCAGTGCCAGTGCCAGGTTGGGTATTTCTTCACAGAAGTACGATATAACTTTACATGGCCCACAAGTTTTCTAGAAACAGATTATTATTTATTCATTTACTTGGGGTTTTTCTTGGGTGTGTGTGTGTGTGTTTTTTTTTTTTTTTTTGGATTTAACGATGAGCTGTTCAGATTAATAATTTATGTGCATTTAAGTTAATCTTGACTATTTTTTTTTTTTTTGGGTCCAGTTAACTACTCATATTCACACCAAGACTAAGGTTAGGGCGGTTAACCGAGTTATACTTTACAAACTTGAGTCCGAGTTTATCGAGTTTATTTTTTTAAATAAATTTAAAAAATTGTTCAAATTCGATTTATTTAAAAAATGAGTTAAACTTAAGTACCTCGACTATTTATATATAAAGGAGCCGAGTTTTTTAAACTCGTTTTTCTAAATTAGCCTAAAAAATTGTTCATGATCGATTTGTTTAAAATATAAGTCGAGTTCGAACCGAATCCTATCCAAACCGAACCGGCTCGATTAACGGCCCTAAGCCTAGAATATTCATTTTGGAAAATCACTTATGACTTCGTCTTACGAATTATTCATGTTATCACTTGAACTACCCATTAAAATTTTTCTCATGTGTGTGTTGTTCACTATCCTAAACCAATATGTTTTATCCTTTTTACTTCAAATGCAATATGACACATCTTTATTAATTCATTCTCACCTATATATTACGAATCTCGCTTGAATTCATCGTAGAGATTCAATTATTTATAATGATGTCAATGAGTAGAGCCTATACTCGGTTTATTTATAATTAATAGTAGTTAGGTTTGTATTGTGTATAAATATATTTAATTAATTCATGTCTTATTTAATCATATTTGCATGGATTCATTTATTTATTTATCATCCAAACTAAACTGACTGACTTTTATGTCGATTTTGGGTTATGGGTAGAGTCCTAAACAGGGTTGGCAATTAAATAATCTTAAACCAAAGTTAGACAGATGCAAACCAGAACCCGACAGACAGCTCACACAAACTCATTAATGGCGACCGAAACAAGGAACTTACCAAACGCAGAAGGCTTCTGAACAATCTGCTGAAAAGTATCGTAAGGATTCGAAAGCACGACTTTAACACCAAGAAGCTCTCCATTCAACTTATTCACCAACCCACTCAGTTTCCCATTAAAGCTCTTCGCCACTATGTTGTAACTCTCTTGACATCCACCTCCATTCCCACCGATGAGGTTCGAGGTCCTCTCCAATGGCAGACAACCCATTGGAACAAGCCCTGCGAGGGATATTTTCCGAGCACCGAGACTGTAAAGTTCTTTGATAAAATTCTCTGCGAGTCCGGCGAGGAAGGTCTGGTACTGATCGACGTTGTACTGAGACCTCCGGTTGGGGAGGGTGTAGTAGTTCTCGAGGAAGTCGTTGGTTCCAATGCTGATTAGATATAGTGCTTCGCTGATTATTCTGTTGGCTTTTTGGACACCCAAATAGGCTCTGAGCTTTTTTTGGTAGTCTTTGTAGTACTCCACTTCCCTCCACAGAGGTATCACAGACTGCAGATAGATAGAACAATAAGGTCAGTATTCATCAGGGTAATTCATGGTTTAAAGTGTGGATCGATATTAATATGATTAATTGAGTCATATACGAAACGATCCTATGAGTTAAGACCGATGTATGTTCTATGTAAAATACGAGTCTCTGGAGTTGTCTAAGGTGACACGACGGAATCATCGTCAACGAATCACACAATTAGGTGCCCAAAATATTCAATTTTTTCTATCAAACATTTTATTTTTGTTCCATCGAATACCATCTTATGACACCCGAGTTGAGGTTGATGTCGATTTCGCAACTTTGAATCACGAGTACATGACTAAGAACTACTGTAATATCATGAATCCTATGTTACACCTATATGTAAAATTTTAAAAGAATACCTGATGCACGAGACTTCCGTTACAAGCGGATAAATGATAAGCCTCCGATTCTAAGGGTATACATAGTATTTTCTCTGCGACTTGCAATATGTAGCATTAAGCTTAATTTGATAACTTAGTTTACTTATTTAATTTAATATAGTCGTTGGATTAATCATAAGTCTCGGTGTTTGACAGGGTCAAGTAATAATTGAATGACGGCGGTAGATTAGATCGATAGATTAGATGAATAAATGAATTAGAACGAAGAAATAAGTAGAGGGCTTACAAGAACATCAGAGGTTGCATTGTCATAGCCAGTACCAGCAGAAGCAAAGCAAACACCAACAGCAAAATCTGATATAGTATACATTGGATCCAAGTAGGCCGGCACATACGGCTTTAGACCAAAAGCCTCAGATATGAAGTCTGGCGGAATCCGGCCGTTGCAGAATCGTCCTGTGGCCCGGCCACCGTAAAAATCACGGCCATAAGGCTTGAAATTGCTCTTAAGAACAGTGGAAAGCTGGTTGTTGTTGCCGGCATCGACTGAGGAGTCACCGAACACGATGATCGCCGGAACTTTCGCCGCAGTATTAGACACTAGAAGGAGGAGTTGGCCCAAGAGGAGCCATGAAGTGTATGTGTATGCCATCTAGTTTTCTACTTTTCTTTCCGTGTGATCATTAGAATGTAGCACAAGGTTATATGTTTCAGTGAGCGAGAACTAGTTATAAATATACACTGTTGGGGTTAGGGAAGGGGTTGTTGGGTGCAAAAATATTTGATGTAACTATTCTACTACGTTAATAATGACATGTGGTGTAACCGTTCATTAATCTCTATGATAAAAAATAAATTATATTTTATTTTTTTTTGTTAACATAATATAACGATTACACCCGATACTTAATGACGGGGGATGGGAGTTTGATTGGAGTTGAGGCCTGAGGGGAGCAGCGAAGGTAGTTGGGAGGTATTAATGGGTAATGAAAGGACTTCACTTAAATTTTGTGTGGCAGTCCACAGAAGAGTTGTGTGATCATTAAGAAGGCTTGACAAAAAAAAAAGCACTTGTAAATAGGCAATGGGTCAATCTGTGGGGCTGTCTGATTTTGATACAATTCTTTCTGTTGTGTCTCAAGACAATCTCAAGGGTCAAGCGGTCTAACATGAAAGATTGATAGAAGATTAGGATAACATAATTAAATAAAGGTTAATAGAATTGAAGTATGCAAAAAGATTTTCAAAATTTGTACGTTAATTATTTAATGATTAAAAGTCAGACGTTACACCATAATAAATGGAAGCAATTAACTTGCCTCAATTTCTCAAACTTTGGGGCACAAATTTGAGATTGATAGAAGATTAAGTGTGCATAATTAAATAAATGATAATAGAACGAACTTTGGCATGAAAAGATTTTCTGGATTTGTACATTGCTTATTTAAAGATTAAAAATCATACGTCACACCATGGTAAATTGAAGCAATTATCGTGCCCCTTTTAAAACACGTTGTGACATAAATTTGAGGAGGGGGAGAGGGTAGATAAGATCACATTGCTATCATTTATACAAATTTTTTGTACAGTTTGGGACTTCTAATCTTTAAGGGGTTACTTTAACAAATTTCAGAACTATAGTAGAAACAAAGTAAATAATAACACTTACCCAAAAAAAACACAAAGAGTTAAATGGTATTTTTAAGGGGTGATGAACAAACAGAATTAATAGCGTCCAGCTCCTCTGCGATGAGTTTTAGGTACAAGGGAGATAGTTCAAAGACCAACTCGATAGATTTTTATTGGTAGGATTATGAGATTTTTGATCGCATTCATTATTTCTTTTAAGAATGAATCTAATGTTGTGAAATTAAAATATGACAATAAAGTGAAATTAATGAAAAAAAAAACGCTAAAAATGAAATCTAAACAATCACACAACACATAATTTACGTGGGTCGGTAAGTTGCCTACGTCTACGAAGTTACAGAAATTTTCTTATTCTCAAAAATGAATACAGAGAGAGCGGCGATCGTATAGAATCAATCCAAAACCCTAATTCCCGAATAACAGTTTATATTTGTCTTACGCACAAGGCTACAAAATGGGCCTTAAAAATTTTTTAAACCTTCGCTCTATGGATTAAGTCTTAAAAAATTTTCATTAAAAATTACACAACATTAGTACGGGCCGGGTCATCTTCAGATCAACACATAAACTAGACTCCACAAAAGACCCAATATTTAATTAAACTAATAAAATGATTAACTACCAAATTTCAATATAAACTCTAAAACTTAATTCTATCTCCAATTTCAAAATAAAAAATTTAGTCAATCTCCCACTAGACCACTTCATTCAATACTCCAACTCCTCTCCATTACAGTGAGAGACATTGTTCTCAAAATGAAGTCGTTCAACAAACCTCCCAGACTTGGTGAAGGTGAAGTATGATCTCCAAGTACATTTTGGCGGCCATTGATGGACATCTATCACTCTGTTGCAGTTGCCCCATCGAAAATTTTTAAGTTTTAAAGTCAACTTATAATTTATTAAAGTACAAGATATAATTATAAAATATATAATTAATTACAAAATATTATAATCGATCAAAAAAATTATAATTTTTAAAGATATAATTGCAACTCACAAAGAAAATGTTACAAGCTGTAAATGAGAAATTACGACTAATTCAAATAATTCATAATCAATCACGACATTTTATGATCGGTCATGAATTACTTGGATCATCTATAATTTATATTAAAATATAATAAATTTATATTTAAAAATAATAACTTTTCACACTATACTAAAAATTTTATTTTTGATATTGATAATCTTTTCTTTGCTTTGCATAACCCCTCTTGTGAAATTAATTTTCTCCAAATTTCATGCCTTGGCATATCTAGAACACGTAAATTCTTATGGATGGTCTTACGATCAAGTTTAGACATCTTTTACCTTGAAGTACGATAATCAACTTTAGAAAACAATCGGTCTAAACTTAGATAATCTATAACCAAAAAAAAAAAAATTCTAGAACAGGCAGACACCAACGTTCAACTACCCACTGAAAGAGTGATGTGACTCGATTGGTTCATTGGTGTAGGGCCTGGCCAGAGGTCTCCAAAACCTTCCCAACCGAAATGGAGGCACTTAAAAACATTTGATAACCATATTTAAAGCCTTGTTCCTTGGTGTCCCTCTGCTGGCCCATAACTCTAATTATCACTTGTCAACACTAACAATAATTACAAAAATAATTCAAGTGATAATTAATATGAGTTATAAATTTAGATATTTTAAATTTAAATTTTGATAATTTATTATAATCAAGTCATGAAGAATTTAACCCTCGTAAATATTCTAATTTTAACATAAATAGCTTATTTTTGACCGAATCATAGAAATAATTAGTCAAAATGTGTATAAATTAATTCGAACATCTCTAACTATTGAAAAAAAAAATGTATTGTCATTTCACTAATCTAAACCCAACATATATCTTCTTGGTCCCATCTTTGAAGAATTTTCAAAAATTCATTGTTTACAACTGCTCTACAAGCCTTTTTTTTTTTTACGAGGACATTATCAATAATTTCGTGTTTGAAAACACTTTATAATAATAATAATTAATCATTGATCATGTAATATTTATATTCTAAATATACACCATATATTTTTATTTTCTTTAATTATGTAATTTTAAAATTAAAGTGAGCATAAAGAAAATAAGTGAGAGTTGGAGGAAAGACAAGACAAAGGTAGGTGAAAATTACAAATAGGGTTCTTCAACATAAGGAGAGTGTCAGTCGAGTTATCTAATATTGGAGGCATGCAAAAAAGTTGATATTTTGTAGCAAAAAAAAAAAATTGTGATGAATTTATACCATTAGATCAATTTTAACTGTTGTTATACTTTGTAAGTTGAGAATTCAACTTCGTACGTATAATATTGGATGGATATCAAGACACCTAATGACATTATCGTTTTTATTCAATTTTACTTCCATGTTTGGATCATGAAATAACACTTGTTATCGTCGCAAATCCTATCTCGAGTGGTAAAACTTTGCTCCTAGTCTCTCGTTCTTGTCATCCAAACTAGGCCTCTACGTTAATGATCACAATATTGTGACTGATCATCATATTTTTTTTGATCAATCATAAGTTTTTGACTTGTAACGTAAACCCTGTAGTTGTAATTTAAAATTTAAACTATGTAATTTTTGGTCCTATGGGATCATTGAAAAGCTTGGGATTTATCACTCATGAATATTCTAATTCCGGCATGGATGGTTTGTCTTTAACTAGACTAGAGAGTAAATTGACCCGAACACCCCTAACTGTTAGAAAAAAAAAAAAAAAACTTGGAAGTTTGTTGTGGCTCCCCTCTCTCTATATATCTCCTACCTAAGTGTTGCCACATTAAATTCTTATAGCAATGTTTAATTCTGCCTGGGGACACATGAGAGGTTCGACTGGTATTAGGATGGTGGTTCTGCATTAAACAAACAGAGCCCCTGCATAGAAAAGAGAAAGTGAAGGTGGGAACAGAGCTTCTGTATCTTCAAAGTATACAGCCATAAAATTAATTGGCGAAACATGGTATTTAATTTCTTGTTCAAACTATAGTATAACCACCATATCCTAAAACTTTTGAACAATGTATTTCAAGTATTAAGTGAACTTTCACATGTGGCGTCTTAATTTAAGAAAGATTGAAACTTTTAAACAAACTTTTAACCTGTAAAAACAGTAATTCTACTAACAGACACTAGTTTCAAAATTGAAATTATCGTTTGAGTTAGTCAGTTAAGAAGTGATGGTAGCAGAAGGAATCGGAACTTCTCCTGTTTACCCCAGGAGAATATCTGTTGACATATTGACACCATCTCACAGTCCCGAAACTTCTAACTCCACTCATTTGCCTTCGACACACTCACACTAGCAAATACTTGCACATTTCAAGTCAAAAGTGATCTTCCAACGTGTTAACAACCATATCACACTATTAGGGGTTAGAATGAAGGAAAGGCAACATGCATGGTTGGAGTTGTTACCCTCCGAAGACCTAACTCGGGTTCGATCCTCAACACCCGCATAGCATCATCCTTTTCCCTTCTTTGAATTAAAACAATATTTTCAAAAATATTTACAATAGTTTAAAAAATATACAAATATTACAAAAAAAAAAAAAACTTAGGGGGTGGGGAAGATACCCTACATATAAATGCCACTACCTCCTCCCTGTGGTTGGTTTGAAAAGAAAGAGGAATATTTAATGTTGTTGTACAAACAATCCTTGGAGTGTAACTTCCATATGTTGCCATGTTGGTGTGGTAGTACTAATTTTAGAATAACAAATCTTATTGGCATAACTGGGACACACTATTGTTTTATTTCACAAAAGGGGCATTAAGACAAAATAGCAGATAACAAGTACAAATGTCAGTTTCAAATCCACATCTTGTGCAGGATTTTGTAGTTGGGTGTATTGAATTTTTTTTTTGGAACTAGAGTTGGGATATTGAATAGTCGAGAAGGGTATGGTCCCAAAATCGATCATAGTTATAGATTTTGACTTGAATTATTTTAGTCATTAGTTAAAAAAATGATAAATGATAGAAAAAAAATAATAGTAATATTAAATTGACTTATAAAATAAACTTTATAATTATAATCACTAATTTTACTGTGAATTCAAACATTTATTCGGCTCTATTATATATTCAATGATTATTTTATTAAGTTTAATTGTTAAATCTATTTAACATTACTCAAAAAATAATAAGATAACAAAAAACTTTCACTTATTGTATTTTTTATTAGATAAAAAGTGAATACACAATACCAAAAAAGATACTTATTAGTATGGCAACCCGACCCTAAAGTAATTGGTCGGAGTTAAGTTTAAGGAGATTTGAAAGGGTGCGTTTATTTATTTGTCATGTTTACATGGGCCATGCATTTTGGTGGCAAGTGTTTTTTTTTTTTTTTTTGGTTATAAAGGTGAAGGGTGTTCGGGTCAGTTTACGTGTACTTCGGTTAATACCTCTCCAGTTTAGTCAAAAACAAATCTTTCACGCCGAGACTAAAATGTTCATGAAGAAAAAATCTCTCGTGCCTGTTCCAAGAGATTATAAGATTCAAACTCAGAACATCTAGATTTATAACTTGTTTCTATTACCACTTGAACTACTCCTTAAGATTGGTGACGAGTGTTCATGAGCACTCTAACTCGAGTAATATTCAATGTAAAGTTAATATCATGTCATCGTTTATTATTCAATGAGAAAAAATTAAATGGATAAAGTGTGTTTCGTTTCTATAAATGAGATAGTTATTGCATTATATAGATGAATAATTATTTAATTATGGGAGATCCACTTATTCACTTGTTAGCTTATTGTTGGACGGTTGAAACAATTTTTTTTTTTATTCAACAGTGAGGAATGTCAATACCAACTTTCGCACACCTCGACTAATTCATTGTTCAATCCAATTAAAAGTAAGTTATACATATCGAGATTAGCGTATTCACGAGAGATAAATCCTTTATGACTTGACCTCAAAAAATTGTCAATATGTGACATGGTTAGACACTCAATATTTTATCTCATAATGCAGTATACAACTGAATCTTTCATCCAATCGAGTGTCCAAATTAAAAACACAAAAAAATAAGCCCATTAAGGTTGGCCCGATGGATAGTCCGTTTAAGTATAATCAGGGCCAACCCCAATTTACACATACGCAACAAAACTTTCTTCAAACGGGCCAGTCCATGAATGGGCACAGGCCCGGCCCGGCCCAATGTCAACCCTTAAAGTAGGCCTCACTGTGCTCCGTGCATGCCTATGAAGCAAGTGCCACATATGCAGATCGATGAAGGTGCTTGTGAACCCATGCTTTAGAAATCCAAGGAGTAGCAAGTTGAGTAGATATAAATTAAGGGGTACAAAGGTATTTTACCAATTGAATCCGGTTTAGTCCATCGAGGCTTAGTTCGAGCCGGAACTACGGTCCAAAGTTTTAAAATTGCATTCAAACATGAGTTTTGTTCGTCTATTCTATTGAATTATTTCCCCTAAACCCAGCATACCAAACACTCCCTCCCATCTATAAGACAGACCATTAGTTTAATTGATTTGCAACCATTGAGTGTAAAAATAATTTATATAATAAAACAAGACTCTGTTTGAATTTTATCTCAGTCATATTTTGCCTCTTAAAATCATCACCAATCACTTACCTAACTCATCATCCCTTTGTCATACTCAAACGTCCCCTAAAAATATTACACCACTCATTTCTATCATATATTTAATCATTTAATATTTAATTAATTTATAGTTAATATATTTTTTTAAAAAATTAATATAATGGGATCAATTTTTTGAACACTTAAATTTTATATTTTATCGTGTCATAACTAATAAACTTACATTGTATAAAAAATAAAAATAATTACACGTGTCAATATTTTATTAGATGAAACGTTGAGATATGATACCGAAAAATTGTTATTTGAGACCATATATTTCAACTTCCAGTGCCTTAAGACCAGCTCAACACAAAGACACATCCCTTAAAGCTCTCAACCATAAATGTCTTAAATTAGTAAACCTTTGTCCTATTAAACTCCAACCTCTTCAAACCCCATGGCATAATCACAGTCTCTAACCAAACCTTCAACGAAATATTGCAGAAGCTTTAGCATTTGCAACTCCACCAAAAAGAAAGTCATTTGATCATTCAACAACAATGGCTTTATTCAGAAAAACTCTTCTTTTCTGTCTTGTGATGCTCCTGATTTGCCTACTCTTGGTTAGAGGAACTGGTGGCCAGGACGCCACCACCGGCGGAGGCGGCGATTCCACGGCCTCCCCATTGAGTCAAGCAGACAATAAAGAGGTGAACTGCATTGAAGGTGGAAGGTGTACGGTTCAAGGTCAAGCAGATGTCGGGTCAAGCGACGAGGATGAAAACAACCATGATGATGATGATGATGATATGGAGCAGGGAACTGATGATTCTGAAGTCATAGATCCAGAAGTAATTGTTGTGGGACACTGAGATTGTTACCAATTCTGTGTTAATGGGGGATCAATAAGTGCCAATGCTGACTCTGCTTCTTCTTATAATTCTTAAGACTGAGCTTGTTACTAATTCTGTGTTAATGGGGATCAATAAGTGCCAGTGCTGGTTCTGCTTCTTCTTATAATTCTGAAGTCTCACCCTCTCTCTCTCTCTCTGTGTCTCTCTTGTGTATAAGTCTTATGAGCTTAATGCTCCTTTGCATTTTTTTCAGCTTAATGTATCAGTAAAAAGGGCTTCTCTCTTGTAATGAATTCTTAAATATGTGTTGTGGAAACAATTACTCAAGGCTGTCAATCCAGACCTACAATCCTGACCAAAACCTTAAAAGGAAAGAAAGAGTAAATTCATTTTCCAAGTCCGACCTCATTGATTTAGTTCATTCAACGAGAGTCTCATGCATGACGCCATCTTTTTTTAATTTCCTATCGAAGTTCTGTTCAAAAATCTCGTACGAGAATTTGTATAGAGAAAAATTTCCCATGGCGCAACAATTGTTTTATACTAACTTAGTTGTCCGGTGCTGCTATTGGCATAAGAACCGGTACACCACAAGTTGGCCCAATCCAATCCTTGTACTAGGGTTGGCTCCTCATAGTTCTCCCTTTAACACTAACAATAAATAGGAACCGAACTGTCTCACAACGTTCTAAACCCAACTCAAAGAAAGTCCACTTCTGATGGCGCCATGCCAAGCATATGAAGGGGTACTATGCTTAAAAGGGTCTTCAATATTTTTCAAAACCATGCATTTTTTTCCCTTTTGGTCCTTTTTTGAGGTAGTGCTTGCAGGAGAGGACTATATGACGGATTAGAATCTTCGAAGGCAGTGATGATTGGGTTGTTAATCCAAGGTAGGAGTGGATTACATCAACGCGTATTAATAAATTATGTTCAAGTAATATTACTCATGTATAGGAATGGAATGGGGCAAATGAAATCCCATTGAGTTCTAACCAAATTAAGGTCTTTATTGAGCTATTGCAATTCAAATCTCATGATAATTCACCAAAAATGGCTGCATGTATAATAACACACATAGACACATTTATAAATCTAATTCTTTTGGTAAAAAAAGCAAACTTGATTACATATATTAAACGATATAAAAATAAATAACATTTATTTTAACACACGTAATCAACTTTTTATCTCAATGTTTAACCTCTTCCTCACCTCTATATGTTTTTTGTTTGACATTGTCTCTTCAACTATCACGTTTGTGACATTACACCTCTAATCATGTTTATTGGTCAATCTTATATTATCTCATCAAGTATCACATTTTCACCTTTAACAATGGTTATTAGTTTCACATTGTCCCAATATTAGAAACATTTGGTTATGGGTTAGCATGAAATGCATGCATTTCATAGCCTAGCGAAGCAAATCTAATGCTTAGCGCGTAACATTAAAATTGAATTTCAATTAGAAATTACAACTACAACTCTTGTTCCATTACAAATCCGAGATTTTGACAATAGAGATTATTATAGACGAGACCCCAAAATCAACTAGCTAGTTAAGGGGGTATTGAAAAGTTCAAAGTTGATGAGGCAAAGCGAAACCAGGGTCATAGTTGAGAGATTCAAAATGTAATTTGAACATTAAGAAGTAAGGATTAGTGAAAATTTGATATGTTTATGAATCAATGCATAGTGACAAAATCAAAAAAATAAGTATTCAAGATAAAGTGAAATTTGAAGTCGATTGTGTTTTTTATCCTTGAAAATATATTGAATAAATTGTGTGGTTGATTACGTCAATATTTTAATATGTAATAAATTGCATATCCATAGTTGCCCAGGAATATTCACCGTGATTTCTTTAATTTGAATCAAGTTTGGGCATAGACTTATGAATGAATTGAATTAAACTTTAATTTCAAGCAGAATCAACTAAAAATATCGTAAATCTTATCTATTAACCTCAATTCAATTGAAATAGAGTTGTCATGAACATTACATACATCAATAAGAATAAATAATTTCAAATTGAAGTACAATTGAATTGAATTTTTATATATTCAGATTAAAAATCATAAAATATGATATAATAAATTAAGAATATAAATCATAAAATTTGATATAATAAATTAGAATATAAATCAAAAATAACAATTCATATTTGGCTAATCAAGTTCAGATTTAGAAGGATCCGGATCGTGTCATTGAAAGATAGATGATATATCAATTTAGAATTGTATAAGAATTCGAAATTCGACCCAGTCTCTAAATCCGGTCCAACTCCGTCTTAGTTTTGATCCAAAAAAAAAAAACTCCGTCTCTGTTGGATTACCCATCAGAATTCAGGTCGGGCCTAACCCTAATATCCTCCGATTTCTGGATTCTTCGCTTGTCATATTACGCCAGCACATGCGTAACTTACGCAAGACCGTTAATCTTAGCATTATAAATCCGATACAACGCTAAAATACACCGCCTCTTATCTCAGCACGGCAGCACCCCCCAAACCCAATATAAATATCCTGTTTTTTGTACTTTTTCAATCACCCGGTACCCGAAATATTTGCTCGGACAATCGGAATCATCAATAATTGAGGTGAATTTTCCAAATTCTTCATCTGGGTTTTTGTCTGATGATCTTAAGTTATCTCATAATAGTCTGAATCATAGATGTAAAGGATTTCGGGAGACTTTTACTTTTAGTTCATAAATTTGGGTGTTATTGCATTTGAAATTGATTAGCACGCATTGGTTTTTGAGTGTAATTGATAAGGTTTTGGTGTTTTTGTGCAAAAGGGGTATGTGGCTGTTGTATTGTATTTTTTTTCATTGTTATTAGCTGATATTTTATTCGAATTGAAGTGAATTTGAAGTATTTTCAGTGTATTGATATTTATTTTGAGAACCCAATTGTGGTTAATTGCTATTGAAGGTAAAACTTAGCGGGAATCTGTGATCTGTTTGTGGAGCTAAGATGATCTATAGTAGCAATTTTGGTTGCCGAGATTCTTTTTATTTTTTGTGTCAAAGCATAGAAGGGTCTGCTGATCGCATTTGTTACTTTTTGACATTACAAATAGGCTATCATGTCTTAACCTTTAGAAAGTTGCCAGAGTGGTTCTTCAGTTGAACCAATTTACAGGGAACTTCTAGATGGCCTATGTTTTTGTAAGTTATGTCTGCATTTTCATCTTGAACTAGGGTATACTTTGGTGCTTAGCATGCTAACCTATAGTAACCTATAGGCCATGGAGCGTATATGAAATCTGAGCAAACTGTGATTTGGACATCTTCCAATCGCTGGTTATTCATATTGGCATGTCTCTCTCGAGTGTTGTGGTTACCAATTTGGCTGTATATTTCAAATTGTTTTTTGATAACAGGAAACCTCTCTAAGGCGAGATCTCTTTGAACTGGCCCGGACATATTAAACTTCAGATAACTCTAATTACCCTCAAGGCACAGTTTTTTATTTAATCCAACAGCCACTATTGTGAGTCGAACCTAAGACATCCAAGTTTATGTTTCATGTCATAGACAACGTGGCACCAAACTGCATGGGCGGGTTTCATGATTGTAATGTTTACTCTCAATGTTTCAAGGAAAATTGTCAAATTTACCAGTCCCAATGATTGAAATAAAAGCTAAATGTTTCATCAGAAAATGAACTTGGACAATAATAATCAATCTCTGACTCAGGAATGGTCATATTACAGGGGTGGTTTCTTATGCAAATTTTTCCAAAAAGTTACACTTTTCTATTTGAGCATGTGGACTGATTATCCTGAATTGATTAATGCATGATTAATCCATTTGACAGAAGCTGTCCACTTGCTTATCCTTCGTCACTTTTGTAGCTCATGATGCAGCAGGAGCAAGACATTCGCGACATCTCAGTTACATGGAGGACAAATAAGTTTGTTCTTAAGATGCGTTCAGATGCTAGTCTGAAAGACTTGGGACACAACTTGCAGGAATTGACGGGTGTGGAAGCAGATACCATGCGCCTCATTGTACCTTCCAATAAAAGTTCAAAACTGCTTTCTCCTTTCTCCGATGAGCACTCTTTTCTAAGTTTGCAAGAAGCATCTGCATTTGAGGTGTGGATATTTACTATTATGTTATAATTGATATTGGTTTTCTTGTTAATTATTATCAGGTCTCTCTGATAACCCATTGTATGTCAGAAATTTCTTATTTCAGCATACTTGTTATCCATACCTCTTTGAAGGCCTGTTTCTTGTATTTTCTCTCTCTCTTTCTTTCTTTCTTTCTTTCTTCTTTTTTCCCAGTTTGAGGAGTTTTATGGTCTGTAACTGACTTGCATGCCTTCAGTGTTTTATGACACCATGGACATTGCTATTTGAGAAAGAACCTGATCTTTAAATTTGCTTAGCTATTGGAGAATGAAACCTGATCGTAGATTTGCTTATCATTTGATCTCCAAGTGATTTTGCATGTGCACTTCATTGGTATTCTCAAGCCTAGAAGAATATTCTGACTATCACCACTTCCGTGATGGATTCCTTTGTCTGGTTATATGAAGATCAACTAATAGAAGAATCATTTAGTAATTTTTTTAATAAATAATCTTTGGTAGGCATTGTCCTACCAAATTTGCTGGAAATTTGTGGGTTTCAATTGAAGCTATACATTGTACGGTTTGTACCTACATCTGCACACGAGCATGTGAACACAACTGTACACTATAGTAGGCAAAAGCTGGCTGCCGATGCTTAGAAGTTAATCTCCAGAACTGATTGTTTACACTTTTTGTCATTGTTGTAACTGGGCATTGTTGTTCTTGTGCTCGTGTCCTTTAAACATGCTAGAAAAAATTTTATAGGTCTTGCACAACAACTTAGTGCTGGCACTTTCTATTTCAGGGGAAATCTATAAGGATGATGGGAGTGCCAAAAGATGAGGTGGATGAAGTTATACAAAATGCTAAGACGGACCTGAGGATAGCTGGATTTGACGAAGAAGATAAGAGACTGAGGCAAAGAATGCTCGATAGGCCCCACACTTCTATGAAACTTCCGCAAGGAACTTACATTTTTTGTGACTTTCGCACTCTTCATATTCCAGGAATAGAGGTAGATTGGCTTCATTCTTGACCTTGCTACTTTAGTTCCATATGTTTTATCTCCAAGTCGCATAAGGAAGCGTCAAGTATCTGCAAGTCAGTACTGTAGGTTGTTAGCAGCCAAGGCAGGAGAGTAGAAGGAAAATATCCAAATTCAACCCACCTTTGGTATTCCTAAGGACTGCTGCTCGTGACTAGATTTAGTTCAGTAATATCCACTGAAAAATGAATTTGCTGTGTTAACCGGCTGATCAATTATGCCAGAGAGAAACACAAGTATCAGACATAGTTGTTTCACTATATTTGCATGCTAACGTGCACACAAATGTTCTTTTATAAAAAAATATAGATGAACTTCTGAATGGCACATTCCTAGCCTGTACCAAATCTTAATACAATCATAAATAAATGATATCGGTGTTATTCATATTAAATTTTCCAATAAAACGGATGGTGGCATTTTTTTTAAGAAAATCAAAATTGGTTGGAGGAGTGCTAGGTGCTTCCCAGGCCAATTTTATTTCATTTTTCTATTGCGGTTTTGAGGTCATTTGGAGATTACAAATTCAATTTTGGCGGTAAACCATGTACCTTAAGAGAGAGGACTTTTGAACTTGGTGCCAACTTGAGTGGATCATTGTATTATTTTTCCTTCTTTTTTTTTGGAAGGGGGGGTGTTTGGAGGACTCATAAACTGGAAAATATTTGGTGAAGGTCTAGGATAGAGTGGCCTTTGGCATTTATATGTGCATAGATGGCTTTCACCATTAGATATAATCTGGATGCTGTAGACCTAGAAAAGGTGGGATTCTTCATTTACACAATTGGTTCGGGCCATTGGCTGCCAAAAGGTAATCTAGGGTCTTATTGAATTTAATGGAGATTAGTAAGATAAAACAGTAATGGGCTCCAAGAATCGAAGAGCGACATCATGATTCAAGATTGCAGTATTGGCATTTAATTTGGAGCACACTGAGACACATTGGTCAGGGTGTCATGTAATGGCTTTAGACGATACACTCAAAATGATATGTAAAGAACTTAGACATGGCGAAAAATCCTGGTCATATCGTGATGTTGCAGGATAGTGGGTGATATGATGGGAGTTGATGACAATGACTTGGATAATTCGACCAAGTTAACCCCAAGTCAGGTGGCTCATTGTTTACAGTACACAGAAGATGAAGCAATATTGGACCAGAAAGTGTCAAGTTGTCTACGACTCGAACGATTCTTTGAACACAGTTACATGGGATCACAAAGTTTTACTAATCTATTACATTAAATTGTTGATCATATTTTTTTTTTTTGGGGGGGGGGGTGGGATCTGTTTTTGATAATTGTCCCTGGTACTGATCAGTTTTAGAATAGTTGGATTTTATCAACTTTGGGAAGCATTCTAGATTTTGATTAGTGTTCCTTTTGTGGAGGTGGGGGTGTAGTCCCTAAAGGCTCTTGGGCTATATGTCTAGTAATGACATGAATGTTGGTACATTACAAAGCTGGATGTGAAGTGTGATATTGGCGATTACCATGAGTTATGCAAGTTCAAATAAGTTTTAGGATCATTTCTAAGCTTCTTAGGGCTTAGGTTGTAGCTTCTTTATCTTATCATTTTTCTTTTTCAGTATTTAATTTCAAAATATGTTTGACCCCCAATTTTTTAAAAATGAAAAAATGTAACTTTTTGGAACATGTTTTTGGCTTGTTCTGAACGTGCCCGTATCATGTCCAAATCTGTCCAATACGTGGAAGAAAAATTGGGACACATTTTCACATGTTCGAGTGTGTCCATGTTCCTGACTTGCTTGACACTAATACACAGGCCTGAGAGTTGTGTTCATGCTTACTCTTAAGGCCTTGGTTTTTCTTGTTTGTCAGATTTTGTTTTGGGTTCCTGCATATGTCTCCATTTTGGGATAAGGTAGGATTGAATATTACTGGAGTTCAGAATTCTTTCTCTGGCAAATGAATTATTTATTGTGTCAGCTTGTCATTGTGTCACGTGCTGTACTTTGAAGGCTAATATACTTTCTTTGTTCTTGGGTCTCACCTCGTTCTCCATTGTAGAAATCTTATTCTTCAAAACTGTATGTTTTTACTTGTATGCTCTCCGGGTATTCCTGGTAAAATTAGTACTTATGTAGCGATTCCTTGGAGCTATTGTTGACCTAGTTGTGGCTTGCCTCCAGTTAAATCCTCCAGCTTCACAGGCACTGAAACTAATGCATATGCTTGCTGCAGATCCAGGAATCATTGCTATTATGAATAAGGTATTGTGAGTTGCATTTTACTACTGGTACAATCCTGTAACACCCTGTGCTGTTTGAACTTTTCTATCAGTTCTAATAAATTATCTTTTGATTGACCTTCCTAAAGCATCGTTGGAGGGTAGGAATCATGACAGAGATGGCCCCTGTTGGTTATGTCGGTGTGAGCCCCAAATGCATTCTTGGTTTCAACAAGGTGAGGTTCAGTTGATGCAAAAGAAAATTGGTACACAAATGGTATACTTGTTTTATTTTAATTTTTTTCCCGGTGTTCTGACTCATGTCTGATGTTGCAGAATCATGGGGAGGAAATATCTCTGCGTCTTCGAACTGATGACCTCAAGGGTTTCAGGAAATATGAGAGCATCAAGAAAACTCTTTTGCATGAACTTGTAAGCTTCATCTTCTTAAGGTTTTTCAATTGTTTCTCTGTCTACACATCCTTGTACCGAAGTATCATGCTACTTATCCGTGACTCATGATAACATGGTGACTAGTTAGTCAAATGACCTTTGGTTTTATTTTGTGTTGAAGGACTTATTTTGAATTGTTTATTCCAGGCACACATGGTATTTTCTGAACATGATGCAAACTTCTATGCTCTAGATAAACAGGTAGACGGGCATCTGTCTCTCTCTCTTGTATTTGTGTGTGTGCTAGCGTGCAAGTAGGTGCAAATGACTGCCTGCTCACCTGTGCCTTGGAGTATATTACTCTGTCACCTTCTCCCTCCCGTTCCTCTCGACTTTATTCAAGTACACTATTATGTCTCACTTGCAGTGGCTTCTAAATCTGAAATTTCTTTGCGCCAGCTTAATCAAGAAGCCGCTACTCTAGATTGGACAAAATCAAGAAGCCACTCCCTGAGTGGAGTGAAGTATTCAGAACACTTTGAAGAGGAGTTTAATGTTGATAGTCATAGTAGTTTATCACGAAGCTTGGGGGAGAGCATCAGATCAGCTAGCTAATGCTCGTGCATCTTCAGTGGCTGCTGCCTATCGCCGTGTACAAACACCTCTGCCCACTCGTTTGAAACATCTGGTGTACGTGAAGAACCTGACCCTGATGATTCTGGGTCTGATATTCATAAAGAATCTGAGTGCATGGATTTTGTAAGGAAGGAGGTGAATATTATGCCAACAACCAAGGCCCGTTGGAGGACTCGATGGTGAGCCAGATCCTGATGATAGTGAGAGCAGTGGTGCCATGGAATTCGAACCTTATTCAAGATTGAGTGAAAGCAGAACCATGGCAGAACCAGATCCAGATGATTCTGAAATGGCACTGTTTGTGCCTCCTTGATGACTGACATGGAGATTGCACAAAATAAGCCTGGGAAGAACCTGATCCTGATGATTTGGAGGTTTCTTTAAAGAATGGAGTTGTGATTGAGACTGTGGACAGTCGTATTCAGCCATGGAAGATCAATCATGAACCTGATACCGATGAGTCTGGAGCAGGACAGAACAATACAAGGGTTTGGAAACATAGCTAAACCTGTTCAGGACTCTCTTGTTATTGAAACCTTGGAAAATAAAATGCAACTGAACGAGGCTTGCAAAGAAACCTGATGCGGATGATCCACCAGCAAATGGAATCATGCGATCAGAGCCTGATCCTGATGATGATATGGTAGCTCCCCAGGGTATTTCCGGAAGGCAGGATGTTGAGCCTGATCCAGATGATCAAGAATTACAGAGAATCCAAGACCCTGTTGCAGTTGTTTGTGGTCGTCTGCAGAAGGCCATTGAGATGCTGAGATCAGAAGTGCATCCCTCAGAGGCTGCTACAGTCCTGCAAACCCTTTTTAAGATAATCCGGTACCTCATCAAAATTGAATTAGCTATTTTGATATAAATATTATGTATTTTTGTTTTCTGTATTAAAGGAATTGCTTCCAACTGTCTTCAGGAACGTGATTGAACACCCAGATGAGATAAAATTCAAAAGACTTCGAAAGGTACCGTGTCATTTTAATACATAATATGATCTTTGCAAAAAATTCTGCATCTCATTTAGTTATTTTTATTGATGGTCAATGTACTTCAGGCTAATCCCAGAATCCAAAGGGATGTTGTGAATTATAAAGGTATGCATCTTCTCATCTTCTGCTTTTCGATTCTTTTTCTTGTCAAGGCTGGTGCAGTTTACTAGTGATGCATTATTAATAGATCCTGGCAATGCTATGAGTAAAATATGTTGGCAACTGTGACATTTAAAAATTGGCTTGGATTTCTATTTCTAATGGAACTGTCATTTGCTTTTGTTTGTACCAACTGCTCGTCATCACAGCTGCCCTGGAAATTCTTACCCTAATTGGTTTCAACGAAGACATTGTGTTGGATGAAATTGGAAAGGCTGAAACATATCTAGTCTTAAAGCGGAACGATCCGGGTTTGCTGTGGCTTGCCAAATCCTCTCTGGAGACATGCATTGCTTATTAGATGGACATTGTAGTAATGTTTGTGACATAATGTGGAAGCTATTATTAGGTGAGGAGGAACAAAGAAAGAGTGAAGAACATCTAATGATGTGTAGTCATTGTGTGTGCAGTGTGTTTCATGTAATTTGATGATAAATAGCTGATATTTGTACCATATTATGTGAACATTAAATGAAAGATGGGTTGATTTGGAAATTCTTTTGTATGAGAATAATGATAATTTTTTTCATATGAGAAGCCATGGAATGATGGAAAATCTTGTTCAGTTAGATAGACCATGGCAAAGATGTTTCAAGTTTTAGGGTACGTTTGTTTAGCGGGAAACTGGTGGAAAATGGTAAAAAAATGCAGGAAATAGAAATTGTTTAGAATTTTAATATGTTTGGTTAGTATGAAAAGAAAAATAATAGAAAAAATAATTTTCTTTTATGCTTGAATTTTCATACAAATAGTTAACTTTCTAATTTAAGAGTAGGATAATAGAGTTATAATTATATACGGATTAAAAAATTATCAATCTTGTCCAATTATTAATGTTTTTGTTATATATTGAGTAAAATAATAAATTTATAACTTAATATACTTGAATTAAGCTATAATTTGACATCTCTATACAGTATTATAATCGACTCAATAGTACAAATAGAGTGTGTTATTTAGATAGGCATTTGACATACAATTGTATATAATATAAAAAGAGTTTTTTTATAACCAAGTATAATATAAAGTTGGATTAATAAATCTTAATCTATTATGATTATGTAATCAGTGACCGAACTATGAGTAGGCCTAGCCTCCCCCCTCCCCCTCCCCGCACCCCCATTTTTAAAAATTTCCATTGTTCCCCTATAATTTTAGAAAATTTTATTATTAACCTCTAGCTTTTTAAAGCACCAAATGTGTAATTATTTCACTTAGTTTATTCAAAAAGATCAATGATTTAATATTTAATAACTATTTATGATGTAATCACATGGATAATTATCACTTGTACTAACAAAGACACTTATGGGATTATTTTAATGATTGTAGAGAAAAAACAAATGACTTTAAAAAATATATATATATTTATATCAAAAACAGTTCATTAACTTATAATTCATTTTTATTATAGTATCATATGAAATTATTATTTGCAACCATGATTTATTTATAGATATAAGGTTATATTATAAACAAGAAAAAAGATGACGAAAATAATGCCACAAATGAATTTTTATGATGGCATGAACCAATTTTTGAGTTTTGTGCTCAAAATTAATTTTTTCAATGCCATTGAATAAAAATTAAATTCAATAAGTTCTTTATAAATAAAAATTTATCATTAACAATGATCGTTGAATAACCTTATTGAATTAAATTTTTATCTATGTTATTGTTGGACCCTCTCAAGATAAAATCTGATTTCGTCCTTATTTGTAATTCACCTTTTAATATTGCAATCAAACGACCCTTAATATATTGGATAAACTAACTTTGATCGGACCAAAAAATAATATTAATTGAGATACGCGTAAACTGATTTGGATACTTCTTAACGTAATACAAATATATATATATATATATATGCACATTATTAACTAAAAAATATATATATACATTAGTTATGAAAATTACAGTTCACACGAGAAAAGCCAACCAAATTACCAAGGCATGCCATTGAACACAGCCCTCAAGTTCCCTACATGCAAACCACCTTTCCCGACAATCTCACCCCTACAACCACCATGCAAGGCCATTGACGTCTCAAACCCCACCACACTCCCACCGGCCACCATCTCAACACCATATAATGATTTTGCCGGCTCCAGCTCCTCTGTATTAGTCATTCGCTTATATGGCCCAAACCATTTAGCTTGCACATACCCGTTCCTCCTCCATGGTGGCGCGTGTAAGTCACTCTTCTTCAAGGACTCTCTCATGGCGGCACACATTAGTCTCACCACTTGCTTGAGTTCACCTTCGTTAAACATACAAACCTGAGGAAAAAGTTGCAGTAGCGATGCATAGTTAAGGGTTGGGCGGGCGATTGTGAATTCTTTGGAGAGAGATACTTCGATTATGTAGCGAGTTTTGGAGATGAGTATGTCTATGTACTCGTATTTTCCGGCCGGATGTCCAGCACTTTTCTCCCACCGTGACTTGCAGAGACCTGGAAAGTTTGGGATTCAGGAGTTGTTACTTGTTAGTTCAAGTTATGTTTTATCGACTAAACTGCAAATTAACTACCTTCAAAACATAAGGGGTAGAATTTGAGTCAATAATGGGGGGTAATGTCACACCACCTCACGGTAGCATTCTCGCATGATATAATCTATATAATAAAATAACTTATAATTTAAATTTTAAAAGATAAATAAAATAATTTTTATTATTCGTAGTTGAAATCATTTTAAATCTTACTTTAAAATTAATCTAACGGTTAATATTAATACCCTAAATTTAATAAGAAAAATAAGCCCTAAGAGAGTGTTTAGAGTGACTTTTTAAAAGTACTTCTAAAAATTATTTCTTATAAATAGTTTAAAAAAAAAATAATGTTTGAAACCGTCTCACCATTACCTCTACCACCACCCCCCATCGCCACCACCGCCACTATTGTCTCCGTCGCCACCACCATTGTCGTCACCGTCACCACCACCACCACCGTCGCTGCCATCACAACCACCCCCACCTCTACCACCATCATCATCTCCTACCACCACCACTGCCGCCCACCACCTCTCGCCCCCGCTACAAACCGATGTTTAAATCTTTTTATCTCTTTTTTATATTTGTTATTTGATTTTAGATATAAATACAAATATGTTTATTATTTATCATTTTTTATTATTCTGTGTCTTCAAACACATGCAATAACTAGTTATCCAATAATCTATAATATAAAACACTTCAATAAGATCATCTGAAAGTCTCAAATTGACTCATTTAACAGTCATCAATATCCCTCTTAAAATCAAATCTATTACTTCTCACTTTGTACTGTGTATTCAAACACGAGTTATTCCTGATGAATAAATAAGTGGACAAGCGATTACTATCTTACATCAAAGGGAGGTTATTTGAAGGAGTAGTGTCTATTTTACCTAATTATTGAGTTATCATTGAATAATTACACCACATAACAACGCTGAGGCGTTATAACCATTACACCCAATATTGGCTCGTAAATTAAGCACTTGATTTGGAGAAATTCATGGATAATACTGTTTATTACTCTTTTCAGTCCATTTTATTTCCCAAGTCTCCCTTTAGTTTTTCATTTCCTCATCTTTTTTAATACATTAGTTTTTTTTTTTTTTGTCCAACAATACACAAAAAAAAAATTATTAGAATCTAAAAATTTGACTTAATTTTATTAGCTACATGGTTTAAAAGAATTATTACTATAATTACATCTTTTGAATTTCTTGATTAAGACCATATTAGTTGAAGCAATGCTACAAGGCCTTGGGTACCTTATTTGGAATTTAATTAATTATAGTTATTAGATAAATCATTAGTTCAAAAGTTAGATAAAATTCACTTTTTTTAAATGAATTAAAATGAAAGGTTGGGTATTGAATAATAGTTAAACCTTTTTTTTTTTTTACCAGTAAAAAATATTCGAATTAAGTAATTCACACCGGACTCAGGTGATTATTGTTGAACTGTTAGAAAGTCATGGTAACAACCATAGACCCGAAAAGTACCACAAGATATTGATCGCATAGTCTAAGAATGGTATCGAAGAATATATGCACACAAAAGTACATACCGGCATTGAAACCTCTGTGGCGCAACCAGCTCATCACTCCTCGCTTAACCTCCGACGACAACGAATCGGTCCCCAAACTCCGCAACGCCATTTCCACCTCCTCACAAACCAATCTCTTCACAGTCACACCACCACCATACTCCTCACCCTCATATCCATCTACCAAACCCCTCACCAACTCCTTCGTCTCCTCATCCTCACAACGGCCTCTTCTTTCTTCTTCTTGACCTTCCTCTCTCTCACTCCTTCTCTCTCTCTCCTCCTCACCTCCTCCACCATCTCTCCCTTCTCTCTCCAAGAACGAGTCGACTAGATCGGACAAGTCCGCCACCGAGTCCTCCGCCGCTGCCGAGTGCTCGCTTCCACTAGTCTCGCACAGCCTGGCTCGAGCTACGTCGTCAAACGCCGCTGTAATTCTCTTAGACCTCACCAGATTCTTCGCCATAGTCGATCTCAGAAACTGGTACACACAATTTCTCTCTCTCTCTCTCTCTCTCGCAGATATAGACAGTTAATACTTTAATTTCTTCTTATCTTCTTCTCGTTTTGGCTCTTCTCGTAGCAATGAATTGAATGCATATTCGAATATATTTATAGAGTAATGTTACGTAGATTTAAAAATTAGATTTGATAATCTTAATTATTGATTTAACTATAGATCTCAGTATTTATTGGGATCTACTATCTATTTAATGGTTGAGATTATCAAGTCTAATTTTTAAATCTTTATAGCATTACTCATATTTATATAATAAAATAGGAGTATATACTAAAATAAGTGAATTTTGTTTCAATCATATTTTTTTTCTCAAAAGTATTACTAATCACTTATTTCACTCATCATCTTTTTATTAGACTTAAACGTTAAATCGTATCATTTATTTCTACTTATATTTAATTATTTATATATTTCTTTCCTAAAAATATCACGTCACTCATTTTTATTATATATTTAATCATTTAATATTTGATTAATTTGTAGTTAATGTATTTTAAAAAATATTAATATAATAGAATCGATTTTTTAGCCTCTCAAATTTTATATTTTATCGTGTTTTCAGACACATGTTATGACTATATATATATATATATATATATATATATAGAGAGAGAGAGAGAGAGAGAGAGAGAGAGACTATGAAATCTGCTGGTATGGGATAAGTGAATGTCGACGGATTTACAGGCAGGTTCATTAGTCTGCCACTGAGTAAATAAATTGGCTCAAGTGTATACCAGAAGCAACGGGTCAAAAACACGACTTTATTAACCGGATATGAAATTAAAGTATTTGAATTCTCTTTTAAATCACTAATTTTATAAATAAGTAGAGTTGAATTCACACGATACGATTAATAAATGAATCGAATATAAATAAAATTAATTAAAAAAATATATAATGCGATTCATATATATATATATTGATTATATACGATTCATACACAATATAAACTCGATGTGACACAATTTATTAAACACAAATTTATATAATAAAACAGGAGTGTGTTTGAATTTTATTCTAGTCATATTTTTTCTCTCAAAATCATAATCAATCACTTACCTTATTCATCATCATTTTATCAAACTCAACCGTCAAATCACATCACTTATTTATATTACATATTTAATTATTTATATATTTTATCTTTAAAAATATCACATCACTCATTTTTATCATATATTTAATCGTTTAATATTTAATTAATTTGTAATTAATATATTTAAAAAAAAATTAATATAGTGAAATTAATTTTTTGAATGTTCAAATTTTATATTTTATTATGTCTTCAAATACAAATTATGACTAATAAATAAATAAATCAAATATAACTAATATTTTTAAACACAAACCCACTAATATTCGACACAAATTTCCCTCGCTTGACATGATTCACTGTAATCCTCCTTGAGATGCACGCGTCCTGTGGCTGTTTAACTAGGTATGGATGTGACGTGACGTCTTTATCCTGGCAGGTGACATCGTAGTCACTAGTGAGGCTTGGATTAATGTCAACCACAGTTTTTTTTTTTTTTTGGGGGGGGAAGTAACAATAGTTTTGTTAGCTTGTGGGGATTAATTTAGTTATTGAATGAGTAATGAGGCATCAATTTTTATGATCAAAATTTGAATTTTTTGTATGCGTAAGAATTTAAATTTGTGTAACGCTACAATCCTAATTTCCATCTAAATATTTTGGATTCATTATAACGATTAATTGAATACTAATTAAGTCAATTAAACGATAAATAGATGTATTCGTGTGATTCAAAGGTGCACGAGACTGACACATTTTTTCTAATAATATCATTTTGAGCAAACGAGCCATGTGCACTTGGCGAGTTTTGTCAATTTCTTTTAGATGATCAATTGTAATTGGACTATTCTAATAAAAAAATATAAAATTTTGGGGTTAAAATGAAACAATTAAAAATATCGAAGACCAAAATGGCATAAAATATATACTAGGGGACTAAAATTATATTGTGCCTATAAATTTTCAAGTACTCTCATTTTCTTTCTGCAAAAAAAAATTAAAAACATGCTAGGGTGTCCAAGTGCAATGAATGCTTGTAAAATAACTAACAAGTAATGTCATGTGCACCAAATAGTCCTAAACTCTTGGATGACAGTGAGTCCCACTAATCCTATGTATTAATCCTGAGAATTGGTAAAGGTGGGATACTTCATGTTGGACCCAACTAAGGAAACTATATGGCACAAAAGGGTTAATCCTAATTTACACTTTAAGATGCTCCAATTTTCAATTATACCTCAAAAGATTTCAATTCTCAAATTACACTATTAATATCATAAAACAGATACAATTTGACCCTGTCCCAAACATCTGTTTCACTTTTTTGGAAACACAATGTGGAGGCCAATGTCATTAGAGGAAAATTTGAACAAATGTTTGGGATTTGACAATATTGTATCTATTTACCCAGAAGGCTATGCATCAGTGTGATTCAATTTCTTTATATAGTTTTGGTTCTAGAACTTTGATTAATAGATAAATATAAGTATTTCATAACTGACAATAAAAACATTTTGGTATCACTTGAATAATGACATTTATCAAAATATTAAAAAAAAATCTTAATCCTCATTGAATCTTGTATGATTTTTTTTGACAATAAAAGCATTATCAAAAGAGCAATTCTATGCACACCAAAATGTGTGCATCAAATCATCTGCAACTATTGGATCAGTGAATTCTATCACTAATCCAACAGCTACAGATAATTTGGTACACATTGTTTTCACTATTAGCCTTTTTATTTGAACAAGTAAAACAATAAAGAAATTTAAACTCCTAAAATCAAGATCTAAAGATCACCTAGGTACCATCTCATTGCACCAATACAGCAAAAACCTCACCACAGCATAACAGGGGTACAAACATTTAAAAAAAAAAAAAAACTTTCTGCATAGGCCTTTGCTTTTTTTACAGCTAACAAAGAGTCACTATAAGAGATTCAATACAAAATTCAGCAGACAATTGACCAAAGAATACTTCAGTAATCTTTTGTAAAATTATGGAATGAGATCTTTTGTAGTTCAAGAACATACAAACCCCAGAAAGGCAACCCCTTGTCAAACATACAAACCGAAAACCTTTAAGCATTTCTTTTGTAATTTACATCCAGGCTTTAGATGATACAAACTCAACAAAGCCGGTCACTCATTACCATCCAAACTTCAGATTGAAGTCAGTGACTCATTCGACTTCTGACCAACCATTGGTGTCGCATGAGGAATGTAATGAAATGAAAGAAATTAAGAACCATCCATGGAAATATCAGTACAATGCGGATTTGGGGGGTTTGAGGCAAAAGACGATTCAGAGGAGCTCTGAGCCTGGCCAGCTCCAAAAGTGAACTCTTGAGGAGGGATGTCTAAAATGGGACGGGCAAAGATGGACGTAGCACCAGGGCTGTTGAAAGCAGGAACATGAACTGTATCATTAGGCTTTGAAAACCCAAAGCTGAAGGAAGGCATCCCTGCAGATGAGAAGATTGGCAAGCTGGGGTTGCTGTTCTCAATTGGCCCATAAATTTTCTGCTCATACTCCTGTAATTGCTGGTAGGTGGCTTCATGACAGACGGCAAAATTTCAGAAATGAATGAATCTGCTTGTTAACACAAATAAGAGGGGCTACTAATACAAATGCACTTATAATATCTAAACAATTTTCAACTTACATTCAGAAGACTTTTGAACAGGAAATTGATGGTTCACCTACACTGATCTCAACTAGAATTCAACACCTTAACACGTTTTTCTACCATTTCAATTTAATCTGTGTTCTCGAAGTATTGTTCTATTGCCAAAAACAATGCGATTGCAGAAAGTTTGGATCTTGGACTATCCTATCTGCCAACAGAAAGTTTGGATCTTGGACTATCCTATCTGCCAACAACCTCCTTGCACAGTTGTCATTGTGCGGCTCTAGTCATCCTGAGCTCTACAACTACCACTGTGGAATGTGGCCTAACACATACATGATTCAATTTATCACAAACTGTTGTCCAAATAACAGCCTAATTTTGGGAAATTGCGTAGACTTACTGACTTGAACTATCATTCTACTTTTAGAAATAGACAAAAAAAGCAATTAGAACTCAATCAGTATAATCAATTGAAAAGTGCCTACAGATAAAAGCTTGACGATAAATAGCTAGGGTGGTATGACACTGTGTCAATCAAGGAGAAATGCCTTTTGCTTACTTCATGAAATTGACAAAAAAAAGGACTCAAAGATATATCTCTATGAAAAGATAAGCTATGAGTCTATGAAAATTAGGAAATATATTTTTCTTTCAGTATTAGAAGGACAAACAAAAGTTTCAATATATCCCAATCTTGTCATAATACAACATTTCAGCAGTATTAAGTTAAACGGAAGAGCCAAAGGATATATAATTGCAAAATCAGGTTCCAAGGGTCAAAATCATTTGAAACTAAAAGGAAGAGAGATAATTGCAGAAACGGTGCAGATCCTAACAACTAGTCTTCCCGGCCAAAAATTGTGCCCTTTAAGGTTAAGCTGGACAGAAAAGCTCCAGGAGTTTAATATCAGATAGCCAAATTTCATGATTGGCAAACATTTTTTAAGATGTTTGAAACATCAAGTTCGCAATTCATGCTTATGTCATGAATTGTAACCACCTCATGCGTTTATAGTTTATACCCTTTTATTATTATATATATATATTTTTTTTTTTGGGGGGGGGCGGGGGGTTAGAAAATAGTGAGATCAGAACTTTTAAGTGAGATCCATATCCCCCTGTGCCCCAACCCAACCCAAGTTTTCTCTGGAAAAATACAGAGAAAGGCACATTAAGCTATAGTGCAAGATGATCCTGTGTTAGTTAACCAAAACTTTGAAATATTTCCCTCTGAATTCTGAATCCTACCAAGGCAATGTGATCTTCAATTCTACAAAAATAACATGAAAATTTGGCTTTTATTTCAGCTAGTGGTCCATATTTCTCCTTGAATTCTATAGGAACACATCTTGTGCGAATTACAAATTTGGATCCCTTCATATCTCAATTGAATTTATTTGCTGATGTGACATTCCTGGCCCTTATCACAGTTAACAAATAATTGTCCCCTTTGGTGCTTAGTACTGATACCTCTAACCTCTTGCTATAACATATACTAGTTAACCAACAAACCTCCATCAATTGAAAATTTGAAATTATTGAACTACTTAATGGTATAAGTGCAAACCTTGAGTTAAATCAACAGAACTTCTTCGCTCTTTCACCCACTGGTAACTCTGTGCTAGTCTCCACCCTTTGCTCTTCATCAAGTAAGCTATCACAATAGCTGGCGATCTGTCAAAACAACAAGATCATAATTCCAACATAAGACCTTAAGGACAATTTAATTATTCTATCTAACAAGAGATTGTGTCATCAACCATAATTCCTGCAAACTAGAAGTCTCATATAATGTCATTATGTAGTTTGGTGCCTACCATCCGAAGGTGGTGGGTAGGGTGGGCAACTTAACCTTCGGCATTATTTGCTCAAACTATAATTTATATTTTGTAGTTAACCCCAATTATTTACTAATCACTGGTTCGATGATATTTTTCTGCGCGCCTCCGTCAGAGATTGCAAAATCAAACCTATTTTTGTTGTTCACCATAATCAATGGATGACACCTTACTTGATAATTCTATTAATGTCCTATTGAGGTGTTCACAGTGCATATGTCTGTTGTGGCTATATCTTTACTCATCAGCTATTTAAAGGGGAAGAAAGAAAACAATTCCAGTTTCTGGTAAAAAGTTCACCTATTTTTTCCTGACATGCAGTGAACAAGAACACGAGCCTTATCTTTTTCGCATTGCTCTGCACGAGAAAAAAGAAGCAGTGCTAAAGTTAGCACAATTAACACATCAGCACTGGCTTTCTGATGTTTGGTGTATTAATATAAATGTAGCACTTGTTTAATAATTGCAGATTAGCTAAATATTTAATCTGCAATATGCCAGTGAAAGCACAATTAATTTGCCAATCATCCTGCTGTTCCACCTCATACCTATAAGAACTATCAGGAAAAGTAATCCCCTAGTCAGAGACTGATTAATGCTTGACCATCCCATCGCCTACCTTTAATTAACAGTCTAGTCTCTTAAGTTCGCCAAAGCGTGGCAACCACCACCAATAATATTCCCTTTTTGATTATCTGAAAAGTAGCCAGTAGCCACTACTACAATATCCTATATGCTCATTATTGCTGTGGCCGGGGGAAATTAATTGTAGCAATGGTTGCTATCTGGGTAACACACAGTACCCAACAAGAGTCGGCCTGTGGGGATGTGACTTTTCCATTTCCACTAGCAAAACCCCTAAATATTAGATGACCAACATGCTCCAACCCAAATCTGTTGCCCTTCAAAACACTGAATGTACAATAGTGAATTTTATAATACCTGCCCATGTTTTCTTATGAATTATAATTTATAAGCCATTCCCAAAGGACTGGATTCTAATCCGATTTCTGCCAATCAGATTCCAATAAGAGAACTCAGATCCAAAACTTATCCAAGGGATTTTATTTTCACAGTCCATTTCCAAATCCGATAAAATCAAAATTCGGATTTGAATTCGAATTTTTCATGACAAATATGAAATACCCAACCATTTCAAATTAATTGAATTTGGATTCATCTGGATCCAAATTAAAATCCGACACATTAACAGGCCTAATATCAAGATTCAGAACCCTATATTTGAAAAGGGCAGAAAAGAATGAAGTGAAGAAAAATGTATAATATCTTCCCCTTCTGTTGTGTGATAGTAGCAGCCTTGACATGTAATATCATAGTTATAATTCACAAATCTTACCAGATAGAAGAAGACATTAACAAAAGAAGCATGTAAACTAACAAATATCAGTTCACAATGTATAACGCCCAGATACACACCTAGAAATTGGACCGCGTCATCAAATGGCAAATTTTGGTCATCTTGGAGGCAATGATATGTAAAGGAATTCTTGTAGAGATTTTGACAAGCAGGTACTGTCTGCAAATGGACAAACATAAGCAATATAAATTCATTCCTGATAAGTAACAAGAAACAAATGTAAGAATATTCAGGGAACAACAGTTGTTTTTCTTTTCATTTTTTTGGCTGGGAGGAACAAGTCATTCTTTCGAAGCTAATGGATACAAAAACATGTGTACAAAAGGCTAGGAAAGGAAAGGGGAAGGGAGAACAAAAGAAAAGGAAATATGAAATTATACACGTTTTCACACTCATTAGGCTCATTTGGTCGCCAAATTAAGGAGGGGTTTATAAAGATCTACTGAACTAAAACTCTTTACTCCCGTCTTTACTACGTTTGGTGTCAAATGAGCTAATTTTAATATCATGGGAGAGATGGCATCCAATGCTGCAAAATAAAAAGTGACCTTCCATCTTTCACTAATCAATATAATAGAGATGCAGTCCCGCAGATTGAAGAAGAATGTGAACTGCTATCTCCAACAAGGATTCACAAACAGAATTTCTAGTAATCTAACTACTAACTCTACCATTATTACTTTCACAAAGGCTAACCCAATGAGCAGATTAAGAAGAAATGAGAATTTCTAAGTTTAGTCAAACACCTTAATTTTGATCACAAATAATAGGCATCAAGTCAAGTTCATGATCACCATTTCCTCCAAATGGTCTAAAATAAACCTTTTCTTATCAAAAATTTCTTATATTACATATAATCTTCTACTAGCCCAATAAATGGTCACACAATACAACCACCACAAAACACCACGTATATTACCACAATGATTGCTCCCCCATAAGCCATCACATTCCTCCTCAACGTGCCACCACCTTTCTCCTGTGCGATGCTATTCCTTTTAGACAAGAAAATGCTAGCACCAGCAATGCTCTCACTGAAAAAACATATCTGTCCACCACTTGACTCAAAAGTACCTCAAATCCCCGCCCACACTGTTTATTGTTCATTAACACCCATCCACCCAAACGAGGCAATATTGAGAGCTCATAGCTATGAACTAGGAACAGGTCTTGGAACCAAGTAGTAACTAGATTGAATTTGATCCAGTAAGCAACATCAAATACCCTCCAAAAATAACAAGCATACTACACGATCAAGGACAGTTAAGATTCCTTTGACAAATCAAAAACTGCAAAAATAAAAAATAAATAACTAAAACAGGTAGAAAAGCATGAATTTCAATTCCTTCCCACAATTAACTAAGCACCATCAAAGTCTTAAATATTCTATATATAGACTGAAATTCAAAACCAGTTAATGTCAACCATATATGTGGTTATCTCAGATATTTCAATAAAGGATATGCAACATTAATATATCATTGATCAATTAATCACAATAAGCTCAGTTCCGATCAAGAAGAGACTATGGCCTCAAGCTCACATTGAGAACTCGAGAAATCCCCTGAGTCTTGAGAAGCTCAGCCCGCGAAGCGTTATCATAGCTACCCAAATACAGGAACTCCGGCAAGATCTCCGACGGAAAAGCGCTAACCTGAAGCAAACTATTCTCGGTGGCAGCCGGCATACGGTGGCCACAGACCCCACAAACCTCTCCTTCTTCGTACTTGTGGTAATGCCCACATACCCCACAAGGGTTCTCCCTCTCTCTCTTCCTAGCACTCATACCGATTGATTTGGTTCAGACCCAGATGTTGATTTGTCCTGTGTATCAATAGAATCAAGATTCCAGACCCAGATCAGTATAAGCCTAGATATGCAGGTTATAAATGGGGTTATAGGTTTGGTAGGAGTGGCAAAGGTCTTTGTTTTTGCTCTTGGATATTACGGCGAAACTTCAATGAGATTAGGCTTAAGTTTGGATAATTGGAGTTTTGTCGTGAAGGGGACTGAAAACGTTGGCTTTATCGAGGGGTAGTAGTCCTCGCAATCCATGACTCAGAAAAACTGACCTGAATCTGATATGTATGGAGGGACCTCGAGTGTAATCTTCACCGATTCAAGCAATTTAAAAGTTAATTTGAGAAATCCTGAACCTAAAAATTAGACTTAAAAAATAAAAGTTATTTAAAAAATAAAAATTTATAATTATATTTATTAAATATGTAGTGAGCTCTAATAAATACGAAGATTTACAATAAAATAAATAATTATTTCTTTTATTCCTAAATATCTGTCAATTAAAGTTTTTGCACAGGAATTAAGGAATCTATTAAATAGCTCTAATATGAGTAAAAATAATTACATAAGACTAAAATACTCTTATTCAATACGTATTAGGAAGAAAAAAAAATATGAAAGGTATTTAACCTATACTTAATTTATTAAGCACTTATTGAAAAACAGAGATAAGGATAAATTTAAAAGAAAAAATATTTATTATGCTTTGATTTCATAAAACGACAGATATTATAGAACAAAAAAAATTATATAAAATAACAGATATTTTGAAATGGAGGGAGTATAATTATTAAGTTTAATTTTTAAGTTTAGTTTTTAAATTCATGTAATATTCCTCTAATTTGAAAGACCAAGTAATGAATCGATTTCATATTTAATTTATATGTTAATTTTAAATTACGCCTCAAAAGGTCGTTCGAATATCAATTTACATTCTTAAAGATCAAAATTTTCAATTTATACTCTTAAAAATCAAAAATTTTAATTTACATTCTCAAAGATAAAAATTTGTATCAACGCGCATCTTAAACTACCAGCATTCAGTTTGTCATCTGGATAAATTACATTTAAACCTTTCTCAGGCTTGTCACGTAATCACCTAAACCCCTCACATTTGAAATATTACACTTACATACTTTGAGAATCCAAATATGACTAAAAATATTTTTTCATTTGGGCATTTAAATAATTATGTTTGAATAATATATTGCATTTGATAGAAAAAAATATTATATAAATATTTGCATTATATTAGGCATTCAAATGGTAAATTTGATTGTAAACTTTAAAGTATAACGGACTCACAAAATAAATGGTAGTATAAAATTATAATTTTTTATTAGAATTAAATCATATTTTTTAACACTTATATTAGATATTAACGACAAAAGGGTTATGTGTTACATGTATACAAATATCAGGAGGTGTACGAGTAATATTCTAAATGTGAGAGATCCAAATGATTAAGTAACAAGTATGAAAGAATCTAAGTATAATTTATTCATAGTTTTAGATGACAAACAGACGACTATTAGTTTCAAGTTCGCATTGATATAAATTTTTATATTTTAGGGTATAAGTTAAAATTTTTGATATTTGAGAGTACAAATTAAAATTCAAAAAGTCTTTCCAAGTGAAATTTACGATTAATCCTTAATTTATAAATTCTTCTTAATCCGTTTAACTCATTAAAAGTGTCACTAAATTTTAAAAAAAAAATTAGGTGTCCCAGCCTGTCTCTCACCTCACGTCTCCCACCTGTCAAACTCACTCTGCTGCATGCATCTGCCAAATGTGTGGGTTTTGAATTTTATAGTAATTTAATGTTTATTTTTTATTTTAGTCATAATTTATTATTATAATAAATGGGTTAAATATATGTAATGCCTGCAAAAGTTGATTTTTTTTTGCGTGGAGTCAAAAATTTTTAATCGACTTTCTTATTAAGAGAGTAACACACGAATTGTACCAGATAACTTGTCTAATAAATAAGTCGTGTACAGGTACGATAGTTAAACTTATTTATATAAATGAATTAGATATAAATAAATAAAAAATTTATATAAATTCGTTTCACCCGACAAGATTGTGAAGCTTAAATACTACCATTACATGAGCGTAATATTTATAGACCGTGACATCAATTGAAATATATTGTCTAAAAATGAACTCTTCACTCACTAATACCCAAATCTGTCCGAACTGACCTCTCGAGTTATAATTTAGGAGGAATATACCTCGACCTCTTGAAATTTATTACTTAATCACTCAAATTTTTCAATATTTAAAATATTACACACAAACCTCTTAAAGTTTGTACGCACGTAACACTTAAACTTCTGTCATCAAATGTCAAATAATATATCAGTCAGGAAATTACACATAGACCCCTTGAAGTTTGTAAGCATATAATATTTAGACTACTCAAGTTTAAAATACTATATCAAAAAATACTCCAATCAAAAATAGATATCAAATATTTTAAATTTTAAAACCAAAATTTATATTTTATTGTATCATTTATTGAAATAAAATAAAAAATTAATTTTTTCTTAAAAAATTATAATTAGTATACAATTATATTATTTATTAGAATAAAACTAAAAAATCAAATAAATTGTCTAAGTCATTTATAATAGAATATGAATTTTACAACCAAATTCAAGTTCTATTATTTCATTTATTGAAATGAAATAAAAAATAAAAGTCTATTTTTTCATAAAAAAGCCATAATTAGTATACAATTATACTATCTATTGGAATAAAACTAAAAAAATAAACAATGGGTTAAAATTGTAATTGACACAATATATTTTAACTTTAATTGAGATAATTTGATAGTTTTATTTGATCGTTTAAATGATCAAATTAAATTTCAATAGATAGTATAATTGTATACTAATTATGATTTTTTAAGAAAAAATAGATTTTTAATTTTAATTTTATTTCAATAAATGTCATAATAGAACATGCATTTTGGTTGTAAAATTTAAAATATTTAATATTCTATATTTGATTAAAACATTTTTTGTCTAAATATAACATTTTAAACTTGAGAGATTTAAACATTACACGCCTACAAATTTCATAATGTCTGAATGTAATTTACTAATGGACATTGACGGTAGGGTCTAAGTGTTATTGCGCACACAAACCTTAGAAAGTCTGTATATAATATTTTAAATGTCAAAAGATCAGAGTGATTAATTAATAAACCTCAAAAATTTTTTTGTAATACTCCCTATAATTTGTATGTCTAACAAATGACAATCTTTTGAAGGTCACATAACAATGTGAACAGACCCCTCCCCCTCCAAATCACTTGTTTTTTATTCCATGCGTAGATTGAAAATGTGGAATTTTATTAGTTTTTTTTTTTTTGATCAAAGGAATTTTATTAGTTGATTATTACAAGTTGTTGCCTTATTGTCTTAATTTTATGTTTTGGGTAACTTAGAACATCTTCAAGAAAGCTCACCTTGAACCCATTTTTTGTGAGAGTAAATTATAGATATCTGCAATCACCGACAAACTACAAGTATCAATTAAATATGTGAGACATTAGCAAGAGTTAAATCCCTAACGTTTAAATTTATAATTTGTCCAAGTCCAATCCCACACGCTAGCGTACCCGTGCATGTTATGTTGGATTTTTTGTGTGCTTTTTTTTTTTTGCCCTCCTATAAGTGTATTACTTGTATTCTAAGATGTATATATATTATTTTGTGCAAAATAATATCATACATATTGTTATTTTTTTTGTGCTTTTTTAAATTCAAAAAAAGTATTTTAAAAACTAATATTAAATAATATGTGACTCATTAGCAATCAAACGTTGCATGATTTGCCAAAAATTATTGATTTTGGTATTCGAATTATCATTACTATCAATAACCATTCAACAATGCTATATTCACCACATTTTTCATTACCTTTATCATTAGATTAATGGATGTCATAGACTTTATAAAATTTTTAAATATAAAAATTATGTCACATCAAATAATGCACAAAAGGGGATATTCACATCATTATTGATAATCATTACTTTTTTAATTTGCCAGTAAGTGCAGGGGAATAGACTACGGTGCATCTTTTTTGTTTTTCGATATTATTTTGAAAAACTAATGTCCACCATAGATTCATCAAACAACAAAAATGAGCCACTAATCAATGTATCCTTTAAAAATAAAAAAAATTTCCACAGAATAACCGATTACCTAATGTTTTAAATATTTTATTATCTTTATAATTCATTCATTGTTGTGATATATCTTACATCCATCATTGTTGTACATCGTAAGTAATCCAGTTGTCCTTTTTTTTTATTTTACACGCGTCCATTTCTCCATCCTTATGCAATATTTTTTCCAGCTTTTTGCCGCCACAACATTTCATTTCAGTACCATACCGAATTGTGTGTTGGATGTACCGTAATCTGCTCCAAATGTAGGACCAATGACATTTGTAAAAATAGTGGAGACTCACCATTTTATTGTCCCCATATGAATAGTCATTATGGTCTACCTAGGAATGAATCAAAAATTTTATTTTTCAAAACTTATCATTCCCGCCACTCTTGCGTATTATACTTGTGGTTATCAAACCCTAAGGAATTGAATTTTTTTTTGATCAATTTAACATGCTAAATCACAAGGGTTCTCAATGAAAAACTTTGAAATAAAAAATAAACAACTACTTTTATTTTTTTCATCTATAATAATAAAATAAAATCTAATTTGAATCTTTTCCCACTTTAAAATTTAATTTAATTTAAATTTATTTGGGAAAGCACAGAGACGATTCAGATTTCATCTCAATTCTTTCAATTTAATCTAGAGGCTCACGTTTCATCTCACATAAAAAAAAATCTCGCCCAAATCAAACCCACCCCCTACACACTACCCCCTGCAGTCTACCCAAGTCCCTTATAGCTACTCTCTCTCCTCCTGTTCACAGTCACCTACTCTACCATGGCTCATGGCTCAACACAGCGACAGCACTGCTACCCAGACCCTTTACACGGCTACCCCGACCCCTCTCACTCCTCTGCCATGGCTCAGCAGTAGCACACACCGTTCACACCAATCTTAGCAGCGATCAACACCCTCTCCTTAACCTCAGCCCAGGTACCTCCCTCTCCCCCTCTCTTTCGCTCAGCACCATTTCACCAATCTCACCAAGCTCAGCCCAGGTGCAATGGGGGTTTTCTTCTTCTTTTATCTTCTTTATTCTTTGTCTGTTCAATTTTCAGAGATTGGTTGAAGCTTTGGGTCAGCTTGT